ATACTATATTGTTAAATTATTATATTGTTGTTGTTTTATCCAATTTTATTTCATTGTATTTATTGCTAATTGTATTTTGACACCCCTGTTATTCGGCAATGTTTAAAGTTTACAGTACTTTATTAATAATTTTTTTAGATAAGATTGCAAACAATTATTGTTTCAATTGATATTGAGCCCTTAAATGTAATTTATAAGGGATTTACAAAGCATAAATAGTCCTCACTTTAGATAAGGTCAGACAACTGTATGAAGTTGACTTAATAAAGCATTTATTAACATACATAGTAACTATTACTATTGCCTGAATAATAAAATACATAAAGGCTGATTTGAATTGTTTATTAATCATTTACTAACTCATTCTCAATGATTCTAAAAGCCACCAACTACTCTTAAATACAAATGGTTTGTAAATAATGGAATTCGGAATTTAGTAGTGAACAATTAATAAGTAATAAAGTATGAAAATACAACTATAAGCACATTAAAATGTGCTTATAAGTCAAGAATACAGCATCTGTATCTGTGTTTATTAACTGCTTACTAACATCTATTAATGTAGAGTTAATGGTTAACAAATAACGAATGAACTATTTGCTAATGCTAAATAAATGATTCATATTGTTAAGTTATTCTAAAGTGTGATCCAAAGTTTACTTTAGAACGTTAAATTATTAAATGTTTACTCCATTATGACAATGGCAAAGTATAAAAATGCACCTTTTCATTAACATGAAGTTATAAAGGCTGAGCTTTATATTGTGTTTAAGCCTTTTGCAGCATTGTGTCTTCTCGACACTTGCTGTTCTGCGAGTAGAATTTACTTTGTGTAAGACACCTTTATTTGCTTCCATGCGATTGTTTATTTTCAATATATTGTAATTTCCATGTCCCGCATGCCTCTTTATAGGTAGGATTTTCTGCTGCTCCAGGGCATTTTATGAGTGTGCTGGCTTCCACACTGGCTTCGTCTATCCCATATTGTGCTCCGACTGCATTATGCATGTTTCTAGTGTTATAGTTGCATACATTGTGTTCTTGCCAGCTGAGGACAGAAAATGCTGATAAAAGGACATTGATACACTAGATGGCAACGGCTGTATCCTCTATAGAGTTCAGTTTCAGGGTTGGGGAACAGCAGATGCCGTCTGTTTTCCTGTGTTAAGTGAATTACCAACGAGTTAAAGCCTGACTTTAATCTGAATTACGAAGACTTAAGGTTTAGGATTAACACCATCTCTCTCTAACCACTAGCTACTGACAAGCTCCTACACACCAAATCTGTCAAAGAAACACACACACACAAACACATGCACACACGTGGACAAACACACACAGCAGGCAGGAGTGAAAGAGAGTTGTTTATCACTACCAAACACCTGTGCGACAGAAAAAAAGTGTTAGCAAAATCCCCACTGAATAGAAAATAATCCTCCGTTTTCTGATGACTTTTAGAGCGCAATGGTGACCTGTGTTTGTGTGTGCGCAAGTGTGTCTGAGGCGTCTTTCTGTTTCATACTCTATTTTTCTTTATTTTGGTTTAACTTTGATACAGTTTGAATGAATAGTTGGATTTGTGAAATATGGAAAGGAGCACAGAGAGCAACACTGAGCACAGGCTTGAACCGCAACCTAAGAGTGAAGACGAAGAGGCAGGGCTATGCCGTTACTGTAGAAACCATTTAAAAATGTCATCCCCGAATTCATCAGACCTTATTAATTAAGAGCACTTATACCTGTAATTATCTCCCTTTGCCAGAAAAATGAAACACAGACAGTTCCCTTGTCACAGCTTAAACTTCATTCTGTGTTAAAACTGTAATGCCAGTTTAATGTCTAATTTGTGGTGAAGCAAGCTCTGAGGTAAGATTACAGGTCACACACGATGGCATTTTAGCACATTTGCTCCATGAAGCGGCAAGAAGTGTACACACAAACCGTATACTCTTCCTCCCGCTCAAACCTTCAAGAGTAAATGCCATCACCTATAAAAGTGAGAAATAGTGGCGAGCAATGAAAGCGTTGAGCTCTGTGTGAATCTGTTTTTAGTTCGAGTGGCATTTTAGCTTCAGCGCCTGTTCCGTTTACACCCTGCCATTAAAGAAAGTAATTCTGCGCTGTCAATCATCTCAGTCTTACAACCATCTCACTGATATAACCCTGAAAAATCCCTCAAGCTAAAGGTTACCTCCTATAGGCGTTACACTGACAGTGCGCTAGCATGTGTGTCTGTTTGTGTCATGTGTTAGTACTTTAGGTGTCAAATCAACCATGATCTGAGGGGTTCAGTGCGTTAATAGTCAAGGGTCCCAGAGAATGTCTTTCAGTGTGGTTTAGTGTATTAGTAATGGGAATGTCTGTTTCCCAGTCTCTTGAAAGGAAGCAAAACCTGTGAATTCACAAGACTGAAGTAGATTTTTGGTTAATGTTTGCATTCATTAAGAGGCCAAATCGGCCAGGTAGACTATTAGGTATATAAGTAGGGAACTTTTAATAACTTTGACATTTTATGTATTTCTTATAAATGTGAGCAATTATACCATTCAAAAGATTCAAAAGTTTTTTTTATTTATTTATTTACTACCATTTTTATTTACCAAGGATGCATAAAATTAATCAAATACATTAAATAACATTAAAAAAAACAGCAGAACAGATTGTATTAAAATTGTTGATAAAAATAACATTGGAAAAAATAAATGTTTTTTGAGCAGCAAATCAATGTACACTACCTGACAAAAGACTTGTCGCCTATCTAAGTTTTAGAAACAACAAATAATAACTTGACTCCTAGATCACTTGATATCAAAAGTGGCTTATATGAAGGCAAAGGCCTCTAAATTGTGTTTATTTTACAAAATAAAATATGATCATGGCTTAATTTTCAATTATTTAATTAGGACTGTAAGGTCTGACTGCTTAGACGAAAGTCTTGTCGCTTAACAGAAATAATGTACAGTATAGAATATAAAGTCTTGGTGCGGTGGAAAAATAATTAATATTGTGTCTGACTGCCATGAGCTTGGAGGACTGCATCCATACATTACATCTCTGCAATGATTCAAATAACTTATTAATAAAGTCATCTTGAATGGCAAAAGAAGCGTTCTTGCAGGACTCCCAAAGTTCATCAAGATTCTTGGGATTCATCTTCATTGCTTTCTCCTTCATCTTACCCCAAACATGCTCAATAATGTTTATGTCTGGTGACCGGGCTGGCAAATCCTGGAGCACCTTGACCTTCTTTGACCTTCTTTGCTTTTAGGACTTTTGATGTGGAGGTTGAAGTATGAGAAGGAGCGGTCTCCTGCTGAAGAATTTGCCCTTTTCTGTGGTTTGTAATGTAATGGGCAGCACAAATGTCTTGATACCTCAGGCTGTTGATGTTGCCATCCACTCTGCAGATCTCTCGCACACCCCCATACTGAATGTAACCCCAAACCATGATTTTTCCTTCACCAAACTTGACTGATTTCTTTTAGAATCTCGGGCCCATGCAGGTTCCAATAGATCTTCTTCAGTATTTGTGAAGATTGTAATGCAGGAAAAATCTACCTTCTGCCACTTTTTCAAATGATCAACTAGAAGTCAAGTTATTATTTATTGCTCTAACAACTGAGATCGACTACCAAACTTTTGTCAAATAGTGTATTATAATACTTTCTGAAAGATTTAAAAGTAATGATGCTAAAAAACAAAATCATCAGTGTAACGTTTTACTGTATTTTCAACAATAACTGAGTTATAACAACAATAAAAAATATATAATAATGTAATATAATATAATATAATATAATATAATATAATATAATATAATATAATATAATATAATATAATATAATATAATATAATATAATATAATATGATATATAGTACCAGTATATAAGGTACCAGTATTGATCTTTTATGCACAAACATGGGTCATCTGTAAAAAAGTACCCATATTAAGATTTCACAAATTCAAAAGCTTATATAAACCTTCTGATTGATACTAGTCTCATTCCTTTTAAATTCTGCAAAAACTTTCCATGGACAGAGAGGGCAAAGCTTGTGTGATTTGTTATAGTTTCGTAATTCATTTTCAGAGCTTATCCATTACAGCACATATAGACAGTGTGTGTCCTGCTCAAATGCAGGTGTCCTTTAAAGATCACTGTATAGGGCACGTTGTTGAGCTGCAGGCGAGGCGAGTACAGAACACTCATTCATTATGTTGAATGTGCCTCACAACCACTGACACAGGCGCGGGAACACACAGTGTTTCCCATCTAAAATGGGTCACATCTCTGTAGTTTATGGGGAAAGACAGCCATAGGTAAGTCGGTGTGTGTTACTTATTTCTTGGTAGACAAGCAATAGTAGGTTCAGCTCACTGCCTCAAGCAGAAAATCACGCCGTAAATCTGGCACAAAGACCTTTACAGCTCTATTGCATGTCAAGCATTTGAGTTGCAATGACAGCTGGCCTTATGGAACCTGTCTCCCAGACTGATTTTGCCTTCTCATGGGCTACAACAGTTTTTCATTTACACTGGACAATGAGCAGTTCGCTTCAATGGTTCAGAGCCTTCTATATGTCCAGGATATAAACCTATAGTGTTCCCATAAGTTAAAGCCATCAAACACAGATCTGCACTTGGCACTGGAATTGTTTCTGTTGTGCTGCAGAGCTATAATTGAACATTCTGCTGTCCAAGGCACTAAACTGAATCTCATCGAGAAAACTCTGTGTTGTCCACAGTGGTTGATATATTTTTGGGCAATGGAGCCTAACATAGACTTATTCTGAAATACTAAACAGTTCTTGTAATGTGATCAGTGGCAAACCAGACCTGTATGACTTATTTTTCTTGTACATTTTGTGTTCTGTAGAAGGACAAATTCATGTACAGTATATAAAACGCTAATGATCAATTGTGCGAGTCTGATTTTATTTCTAATGTCTGTTCTGTTCAGTTCGTTCTGTTTCATGTAAGAGTTTTTCTTTGTGTATTTCAGCTGTTATCCGAGAGCCAGATTAACATGGTGAAGGTTGTCAACTCTGTGAGTGATGCTCTGAACGCCATGCAGAAAGAAACAGGAGGCTTGAAGGCCAGGGTGAAGGCTGACCTGCAGAGGGCGCCAGTCAGAGGAGTGCGCCTTAAAGGATGTGCTAATGGTAGGAAATCTGTACTGCCTATACATCTTACTTATTTAACAGTTTTAAGGTTTTATCTCAGTCCACTGGGCATTTTTCTACACTATACTACCAATAGAATGGTTTAAGGCTGTTAAGATGTTTTTTTATATTACTACATTATAAATGTTCTTCCCCAAAAACATTTATTAATTGGGTGATTAAAATACAGTGAAAAGTGTCAAATTGTTAACTGTTATTATATTATAGATTTTATTAATATATGCGTGTATGCAAGTAAGTACAGTATGTATGTATCAATGCAGTTATTTATTTATTTATTTATTTATTCATTTATTTATTTTTTATTTGTTTATTTATTTATATACAGTGCTCAGCATAGTTGAGTTCACCCCATTTTGAAAACAAATATTTTTATCCATTTCTCAGTGAATATAGGCAATGTAATTTGGTGAATGTAAACAAAAAAAAATAAATAGATATATTTATTAAAACAATATTTTAGTCATATTTAGAAATTGAAAGATTAATACAATTAAATTCAAGCAATATATTAGGAAACAATTACAACCAACAAAATTTCAACAAATTTTTTTTTTTTTTTTTTTTTTGCTTCTCTTGATTTTTCCTCTTATTTAAATTAGTATTTAATCTTTTTTGGGTATACTAGTTTTTGTGTGTATTATATATACTTATCATAGAAACAAAACTATACAATAAATATAAACAATTTTGTTACATACAGTGCTCAGCATATTTGAGTAGACCCCGTTTTGAAAATGAATATCCATTTCTCAGTGAATATGGGAAATATTGGTGCATTTGAACAAAGCAGATTTATTAAACAGATATATTTATTAAAATAGTATTTTGGTCACAGAACATCCTTAGAAACTGAAAGATAATACATTTAAATTCTTGCTAAAAATTGCAAGAAAAAAAATTAACTACAACAGTTCAACAGGGCGACGCAGTGGTGCATTAGGTAGTGCTGTCGCCTCACAGCAAGAAGGTCGCTTGGCTCGGCTTAGTTGGTGTTTCTGTGTGGAGTTTGCATGTTCTCCCTGCGTTCGCGTGGGTTTCCTCCGGGTGCTCCGGTTTCCCCCACAGTCCAAAGACATGCGGTACAGGTGAATTGGGTAGGCTAAATTGTCCGTAGTGTATGAGTGTGTGTATGAATAAGTGTGTGGATGTTTCCCAGAGATGGGTTGCGGCTGGAAAGGGATCCGCTGTGTAAAAACGTGCTGGATAAATTGGTGGTTTATTCCGCTGTGGCGACCCCTGATTAATAAAGGGACTAAGGCGACAAGAAAATGATTGAATTAATGAATGAACATTTCAGCAAAATTGTATATATTTATTGTTTCTCTTGTTTTCACTATTTTTGACATTTTTATTTAATATTTTTTTAACATAAATTTTGGTGTACTCATTTTTTAACCATTATTGTAAGTTATTTTGTTATATAAGTTCCAGATTTGGCTTCAGTACTGACTAATCTAATGTATATGTGCAAATATAATATTGAAAAGCTTTCTATTAAAAATATGAATTTAAAAGATAGATTTGTGAGGGGTGTACTTATATATGCTGAATTGTAGCGTATTGTATGTTTAAAATTGGAACTTTCAGTAGTTATTACCAGAGAAACATGATTCCTCAGATTTTTTTAAAGAGAGTTGTATTGTGCAGCTTAAATTGTTGTGTTGTAATGTGCAGCTTAATAATGTTTTTTAAATATTCTGTTTTTTTATTATTTCATGAACAGGAAGTTCCAGACACATTTCCTGGAACTATTAAAGTGTCCAGTGAATGCATTTTTTATGTTTCCCATTCCTTCAAGCATGCCTGATTTCACCTCATTGGGTCAATATTCGGCTAACTGACATATTTTTCTTCTTAGAATTATTTTTTAAATATTTAATTTTGATTCAGTCTGTTTTGCAAATTCTTTCTTACACATTGAATGGTTTTTCAGTGACTTTTTCTGAGACTCCTTAAGTCCCCAAGAACCAAAAGCTATGATCGTTATTTTTTTATTGTGACGCAGTTCCTTAAGAAACTTTTAAATGAGCAAACCGTAGGCGTAGCTTGTTTTTTCTACTGCAGGCAAAATGGATGGGGTAAAGTAGGCATTTAATTCAGAAAGATCAGGAAAGGGGTTGTAGGAAAGTTAGAACAGTATAGAAAAGTTTGGTTCTTCAAACAAGTTTGCAAATTTTAGAGATTAAAATGTCTGATCTGAGATCGCTGCGTGTGTTGTGAAGGACAGATCCATCGATCCTCAAAGTCATTTTTAAGTTTTGAAGAATGAAATGATCCTGGATCGTGTCCAATTGTCAATAACCAAATCCAGCTAATTGAATAATCCACGTACAAAGAACGGACCACTGCTCACCATTTCCGTTTGTTGTCAAAACTGACAGTTGGAATAGCGTAGTTAAGTATGTTAGCCACGCCCATTGCCTCGGTATTGCTTAATCTGATAATCTTATAGGACAAACCATATTTTCTTCTTAAAGACATGCACAAATGAGTTGTTGACCACAAAACTGGCCATATGAGCTAACGAAATCATGTAGTTTGTTCTGATTCTTTGCAACTCGGGAAATTATCATTTTTACTTTTCTCCATTTGACCTTACAGCTCAGGAAAGCTGCTAGTGGAAGGGTTGAATTCAGAGCAGCATCACAGCATACTGCTATAACTAGCAGCTTTATAATGATTAGGCACATGACATATTTCGCTCAGGTGCTTGTCTTTATCAGCTCCGTTGTCCCATGAGGAAAGATTCATATTCAAATCAGGTAGCCTGACATCACCGGCTCAGAATCACAAGCACTTTGGTTTCTGATGAGAGGCGTTCTGATCCTCCTCCCACTGTTGACTCATTGGTTCTCAATCCGAAGAACATCAGACAATTTCACGGAAAACTGTGTTTAAAAAAAGCACATAACTGTTGTCTTCTTTTTGTGCCCCCGCTGATCTGAATTCTCATTAGATATGTCGCTGGAAGCTGAAGGAAAGTGTCTGTGCTTAAATTGTGTTCTCAGGAGGCCTAATGTGTCTGAAAGCATTTTACCACTTTACTTTTATAGCCCTGATGTGTCTGCAGGATCCACAGGTGTGGCTCGTAATGAACTCCTGAATGGAGCAGACACTTGTATGCAAGCGTGTGCCAGTGAACGGAAAAGTGTTTTCTATAATCAGGAAAAAGGATCGCTCTTTTGGGAACAGAGACCAGTAAACTGAGAAGCACCAGCTGCCTTGGAAAAACTGGCACAAAATCATGTTAGCTAACCTAGAGCTATATTCCTTTGGTCATTAAATCAGCCTTGGCCTAGTTTAGTTATTTGCACATCTGCATCCTTTTGGTGATCTAGTCTTTGTGTTTTTTGTTTTTAACTCTTTCCCTGTCTTTTTTGTTTTTTCAAGGCTCTCGTCCGCGAGACTGCAGTGATATATATGCTAGTGGTCAGAGGGAAGATGGCATCTACTCTGTTTTTCCCACTCATTACCCTGCCGGCTTTCAGGTCTACTGTGATATGAGCACAGATGGAGGTGGCTGGACGGTGAGTCACATGAACACTTGCATATTTGCTAGTGTAAGTTTGTTGTAATTTGTAGCTTCTGATGCATTATTCAGTTTTATTGGTGGTAGACCACCTCAAGTGAGCCTTTTATATATATATATATATATTTACTATAATATGTGAAGGAATGGCTTCTGCAAAAAAAGAGATTCTTATGTCATTTGATGAACAATCTGAATATTGAGAGTATCTGAATACATGAGAGGGACATTGTGACATATTAGCCCCTTTCACACAGTGAATCTGTTTTGTTTAAATGCACCAAAATCCATTGCCTATATTCACTGGGAAATGGATAAAAAATATTCATTTTCAAAATTTAGTGTACTCAATTATGTTGAGCACTGAATATAAAATTTGCAGTTATTTTTTCTTAAACCAGTTTTTCATGTGCCTCACTTCACAGCACAAATGATAGACTTAAAGTAGGCCTTACTGACCGCTATTTTAATTTATTTAATGTAGTATATATAATTTTGTATGGTTGTATTATGTGTTTTTTCAGCACCATAGAAATGCCACTTAAGCTGGATGGATGGGTGAGCAGAGACTGGTGGCAGCTAGTTATATTTAACAGGGTTCTGCAATGTGGAGTTGAGGGAACGTTTCAGAAAGTCTACTATAAAACTTTCAGTATAAAACTGCACTTTCTACTATAAAACTGCACTATAAAACAACTGTTCAAAAGTTGTTTATCATTTAATTTATTGATTTGTTCCAGTGATTTTAAAGATGAATTTTCAGCTTCATTACTTCAGTCTTTACATAATCCTTCATAAATCACTCTAATATTAATTATTATTAATAATAATATTATTAATATTATTATTAACGGTAATAGTAATAAAAGCAATAGACTAGAGTAATAATTTAATTAGAAAGTACATACAATAAGAAAACAATTTATTATATTATTTACAATTTTAATAAATATTTAACAATTTTATATATTTTTTTCATTTCATAAATGCCGCCTTGATGAAAAGAATGATTTTCTTTAAAACAAAACATGAAAAAAAACTGACCCCAAACTTTTGACTGGTAGTGTATGTGTGACTTTTGGGTCACCGAATGAGTCCAGGAGAGTTTTCCTTTCATGCACTAGAGCAGGAAATACTTTAAATCACTTCACACAGATGGCACAAATACCTCTGCCCTCATGCACACATACACTGTGCAGCACGGAAATAAGGTATTTAGGGTGTTTACATGCCTGAATACTTACCTTTGTTAATATGATTATGCTTACTGCGATTATTAACTTAATCACATTATTTAGATCAAATTAGTGCATTTTATTTAAAGGTAAAGTTTAATCTCAATATTGCTAAAATCCCATTCTAATCGCATTAAGATGGTCCACGTAAACATCCTCATTTTCTTGGATAGGCAGTTAATTGATTAAAAGAGTCCGAACCTCCTCCTGGAAAGCACAAATACAAAACCTCATATACACTTGCAGTCTTGTCCAACAACAAATTTAAAGAGGTTAAAAAGAATGAATATTCTAATCATTTAGGTCAGGGGTGTCCAAACCCTCTCCCAAGGGCCACTGTCCTGCAGATTTAGCTGCAACCTTTCTCAGCACACCTGGCTGGATGCTTCTATATGCATAGCAAAATCATGATTAACTGGTTCAGATGCATTTAATTAGGATAGGAGCTAGATATGCAGGACAGTGGCCCTTCAAAAGCAGGATTGGATGCACATTTTTCCTCAGTTTTGAGATTATATCTGGACATGAAAATGCAAAAACATTCTACGAAGACTGTCAAGCGCATGCCAAACCAACACGTGGTGAAATAGGTGAAATAACCCTGCATCATGTGAATGTTCCGGCACAGCCTTCACGTTGTCGCATAGCCCACGCCGTGGCTGATGTGGATATTCACTTCTTAAAAAATGGAACTACACATTGCAATGATGCGTAGCGCAAGCTCTGTTATTGGTTGGCTTGGTAGCGGTGACGAGTGTGGGCGGTGCTGAAAGCCGATGCATGTTCGCATGTTCGCTGGTTCCTGTCTCTGAATCAGCAGGTTTTAGCTACTTGTACATTAATATAGCATTCAGAAAGAAAAAAAAACACCCGGGAAGAAACTCGACACAGAGGAACATAAAAACTTATTTTCAGCTAGCCTTTCAGAAGTGTTATTGCAGTAACACAAACTGCATGCAGAAAAATAGATGAAAGACTATGTGGAAGGCTGGCACCGTGGGTCACAGCGATTACTCGATGCAGAAGTATAAATCTGCCTTAAGCATAAAAACAGGTTAACCAATCAGAAGCGCACAGTCAGAAGGGCACACAGTCTGCTATCAAAAGAGACATTGGCTGTTTCTCAATTCCAAGTTTGAAGAGAGCGGACTTCTGTTCTTATGGAGATTGGTCTTGCCAGGTTACCTCGAAAGAATCAACTCAGGAGACCTCAAGAACAGAGAATGCTTCCTTTGAGAAATGACATGCAGCATTTTTCCTGATGGTCGCATGACCTTTATGGACTTTTAACAGAAAATTATTTAAACATTACAGCATTCATACAACAGTTTATAGTTTTTTCTTCCTTTTCAGTAAGCTCAAAAGCCTTACAAAGATACTTTTCACAATACAAATAAAACAGATTTTAATATGAATTTTAGCAAATAAACACCCTTAATGTGTTCATGCCTTTATTAAGATTCTCATATTAATGTTTACTTTCACCATCTCATATAGAGAAACTGCTTAGATACCGTAATTTATATCTCTGAACTTTAATAATAAATTTCTATAAAATGCTACACTTCCCACCTCTGTGTTGATGCTTCCTCGATAGTAGGAATACATTTAGATTTTTTCACACGTCCTCCTTAATTGCTGCCTTGAGTTTTGAAAATTATTAGAGTTTTAGCAATTATTTGGTTTTAACCTGATTTATGAATCACATAGGAAATACAAATACCCATATTTGTGTAGATAGGGCCATACACCATGTATCTACAACAACATAAAGATTGTCAGATTGTTTTAGTTTTAGAATTACAACCCTACAGAGAGAATATTTGAAAGTTTATTTCACTGCTATAAGAAAAATATGTGAGCATATGCGGACCTGTGTTTGCAGCATCCCGCTTGTAGAAGCATTTATAAAGAAAACCTTGTATACTTTTAATAACCAAGGATTAAGTCAAATTCATAAAAGCTCATCATTACCAAAATAATTTACAAAAAATCAGACAGGTGTGCAGTCAGTAAATTATTGATTTGAATATTTCAAAATTCTTTTTATTAAAACACCCAGAATTTTAACCAAGAATGCTATTACTCACTATTATACAACAGAGCACTTCACTGACAGCCATGCTAATATGACATGTTTTTTGAGAATATATTGCCTCTCTTTAATTTCAGCAAGCAGTTCTGGTGAACTAAACTTGCAAGTAAATGTCTATCTACGATGTAAACTTCTGTTCTTTTATTTTTGCTCACAAGTGTGCAGGTGGCAGGGGGCAAACAGTCCAAATTCAATATGTAATTAAATTCTTAAAAATTATGACTAACAGTCTTTTGCCACACCAGTTGACAAGCAAGTAATTTAAAAAAAATTTAGATTAGATTTAAATGCATCAAGCAAACTCTTGGACGCTTTTTTATGATGCGAGTCTTGCATAGTCATAAAAATTCTGCTTAATATATCTCTATTATTGAGCACTGTCATCAATGTAAACAAAATGTATTTTTTAAAATAGTTTTTAATTTAATTAAGATTGCTGCATATTTAACTTCCAGAAATCCTGTATGTTGAAATCAATCAAGAGGATGATTTCAGGTTTAGCCTTGGGTTTTAGGGCAGTGCTTGGCCTGAGGTCTGAGGCTCATACTACCCCTTAAAATTTAAACAATGTTTTACCTTAGAAATTAATAATCCACATACCAAATATTATAGCCTTCCCCTACCTACTGTATAGCGTTCTTAAACTGGATCCCTCAAGTACAGATGCATAAACATTTCTTATAAAAAGTGGACATAAAAGATTTTATTTGTGCAGTCTGTTATGCTGCCTCCAAAGGAAAAAAAAAAGAGATTTTGTATAACCTTTTGTCGCTGTTGTTTTGTTGTTTTGGTCAAAATGACAGATGGCAGATAGCAATATGATAGAATGCTGCTATATGTATGTACAGTACAGTCATGTTCTGCACTTATTGAATGATACTTTAGCGAATTCATTTCTCAATCCAGAAACTTAACAGTGTTACCTTTTCATTTTCATGTTGTTCAATGCCTCTGCACTCAGATTACTCAGTGAAAAAGATCATTGTTTATTTAATAAATCACACTTAAATCTGTCTGCTGTTATTTTCTAAACTAAATTTAATATTATAACCTAGATTTATGTAGGTTTTAAAGCTTAAAGACAGTAGTCAAATGTACTTTTGCTATCATATCAAGTTGTATGTATCTAATCTCTCCAAACAACCATGTACCGTAGCACTAATCCTCCATCTGCTTTAGTAATATCATGTAAATATACTGCCTCTTTATTGAGGTGCTTAGCAGGCTCAAAAGCTGGTGTCATATTTGACTGCTTAAAATGATGAAACGTATTGTGAAAGCACTTAGTCAGATTGGCGATGATGACAGTGATATGATTGTGATGATGATGATGAGGGTGGTTCATTCTGATTACTTTGGGTTTTGAGATTTGTGTATCCGCTGGGGTCTTACAGTGTAGGATAGAAACATGCTGACTACTGAAGCTATTGTTTCCTGAACGTTTGTGGCACAGCAATATTTTTCTGTAGAGTATGTTGATAACATGTTGTTTGTTATCAGACAGATTACCTGCAGTACTGTTTACTGATTTCATAGATAATTTGGCTCTGTCTGAAAATGTTGGCACCATATACAATGTTTTTAAAATACCCTGCATATTATAATGACTTTGCTGTGATTGATATAAGGACAGTAAGTTGGTGTGGTGCTTTTCCCACCTCTTTTCCA